TTTTTTCTCCCCAAAGCCCCAGTAGATAGTTGTATGTCATAGTTGCACATCCTTCTAGTTGCTGTATGTGGGACGTGGCCTCAGCATGGCCGGAGAAGTGGTGGGTCGGTGCGCACCCGGGATCCGAACCCGGGCTGCCAGTAGCGAGTGCACGCACTTAGCCGCTAAGCCACGGGGCCGGCCTGAAATATATCTTTTAGTAGCTCTTTCTGCAAGGATATCTCAGTCTTTATTTTTTAAAAATGTCTTTAATTTTCTCATGTTCTTTTTTTGTAACTTTTTATTTTGATATAATTTCAAACTTACAGAAAGAATAGAACAAAGAAATCCCATATATCCTTCATCCAGATTCACTACTCGTTAGCATATTTTCAAACCATTTGAGAGTAAGTTGAAGGCTCCTACCCCTAAATACATTAGTGTGTATTTCCTCAGAACAAGAATATTCTTTTAGATAACCACAGTACAGTGATCAAAATCAGGATATTAACACTGATACAAAACTGTAATCTATAGGCCTTATTTAGATTTCACCAGTGGTCTAATAGTGTCCTTTATAGCTTTTTTCCTCCTGGTTCAGGATCCAGTCCAGGATCATGCCTTATATTTACTTGTCATGTCTCTCTAGTCTCTAATCTGGAACAGTTCCTCAGCCTTTCTTTGTGTTTAATGACCTTGACGTGGTTGAGGAGTAATAGGAGCAATGTGTGTGAAAACTGATGGGCCTAACAGAGAACACACTTTCAGCAAAAGGGGAAAATGCCGACAGGCTCTCAGAGAAAGCCTTGCAAGGTAGAGCTCCAGTTCCAGGAATTCGATCCTTAAGACCTGGAAAACGCAGTGCAGACTCGCCAGCTTGTCCTGTTTTGCCTAAGGTATCGTAGGTAATCCACGCAGAGGAGATGGGAAGGAAGCCGAAGAAAACCCGGGAGAAGCAGCAGAAACGTAAAGCAGTAAATCACAGGTCTTGTCTTTGAGTTCCAGGAGGGAAAAGAAAGCTCTTGTACTAGAGATGCAGGGCTCTGACCCTTTGCCCAGCACGACAGGGAGAAGCACTGCAGCACAAGGAGCAGCAGGAGGAAAAGGCTGAGCATCCTGCCTGGGAGCCCGGAAAGAGCGCTTCAGCACAAAGGCCTGGGTCTCCGAGGTGTGGAAACAGAGGCAGCTAGGTGAGGAGTCAGCTCTTCATCTGAGCCTACTGAGTTGTCCAGTGCACATTTCACACATGCGTATAAGAAGGTGTTCCAGGATATCCTGTACTTTCCCAGAAAGGAACTAGCCCTTCCTCCAAGGAGCCCTGGTTCGTTCTGATGACAAAACGTTTTTAGAAACCCAGATCTGGGCTCCAGGTGTGCTCATGGCTGCTGGGGTGTCATTGCTTCTAGAACCTTTTAGAGGAGGAGCTGAGAGGTAGACATCTATATTTCTTCATCTACAGACAGATATACATACGTGTGCACCTATATGTGTTTATATATGTACACACATATATTTAAAATGAGGAGTTCAATACTTCTGATCCCAGTCCATCACCATTGGCCTCTTCCTAGCCTCCATCTCTACTGTATTTGTATCTTCCTTCACTGACAGAAGCCTGACTCCCAACATCCTCAATATGTTTACTCGTCTCTTCAGTTCTAGAATACACAAGTAGTTGCACAATTTTTAATCCATACTACTGCAGATATAAACCTATTAAGTAAACTTGAGTATTTGTTTGCAGGTTTTTTTATCTTCTTATCTTTAGATGACTCTGCAGTTACTTGAGTTAGTTCTCTTTTCC